TTTTGCAAGTGTATGTTAATTGAAGGAGCATTAAGATAAGGAAGGGCTCTGCTACAAAGTTGAATGTAAGCCCTGTACAGTAGATCAGCGCTTCAGGCCGATTCCTCAGCTGCTAGACTGGCTATTCTTAACTGCTTGGTTATTTTTGGAATCTTTTCCTAACTTTCTACTGGGAATGCTGTTTTGAAGTCATTTTAGCCTCATTAATCAGATTTCGGACCCACGTTGTGTAGGCTCTGGCTCCTACAATGTGTTTTTCTGTTTTTTTCCCTCTCAGCACAGTGTGAAGCGTAGAGGAAAATCATCAATCTTACCTGTCTGAGACGTCAGCCACAGATTTAATCAAATGCTCCATTCTGTCTCTCTCTTGCCCTCCCTCTCACTGTGCCTCCTTTGGACTCTGTTTCGTTTGTGTCCTTAATTCTTTCTCTTTTGTTTTCTTTTTTCCATCTCTTTTTCCCTGTGCAGTGAGGTTTGTATCTGTTGCCCTCGTACACACAGAAAATGGAGCATTCAATATTTCACTGCTGTTTCCTGCTTTTCTAAAAGAGATTGGAAATGTTTAAAGTACTGTTGCAGTAGGAACAGAGGGCACATTACCTAGAAATGCCTTTTTGTGGTCAGCATGATGTCTGGTTTAATGGTTTTACGGTTTACCTTGACAGAAGTGTGTACTGTGGGCTGCACATTTAAAGCACAGCAGGACCCTCAGGTTAACTATGGGGGAGTGTGTTGCAAATGTTAGGCCTCTTTCCTGGTTGCTTATGGGCTTGTTCTCCACTTTCTCAGAGGTGAATGTTCTGCCCTTTAAGTTCAGCGAGGTGACACTTGGCTCCCTACCTGGAATTTCTACCTTTGATGTGTCAGCAGCAGCTGGAAGAGCTCTCACATCTTTCTCTTCAAAGAGTTACACTGGCTGAACGTTAGGATCAGCGTTAGAAACCGTTCATTGTGCGCGCTGGGCTACACAAATGAAACAGGCCGCCGTTTCCAAGCGAGCTCTGTGGGCACTGTTATTTTCTCGGCAGCCAGCAGTGACAAAAATAAGCTTTGGGCTGCCACGTGCGCGGAAGGGGGCACAGGGATGCTTTCACACTTTTCTTTCTAAAACAGCCCTCTGTTCGTTTTCACAGTGAACCCCAGTGATGCGGCAGGGCTGTGATAAAGCAAGCCGCTCGTGGGGTGGAAACCCCAGGTACTTGGCAGGTTTGGGTTTTTAAAGCCTGAACCAGAAGTAAAAAAAAAAAAAACTTTTTACTGGTTTAATTTCCACGTGTTTCTCATATTTGCCTGGGAGAAGAAGTGATTGCAGTTGTGGTTCAAGCACTGGAAAATCAGGAGGACGATCCTGGGAAGAGTCCTAGAGTCATTATCGATGAGAAATATTTGAAAAATTAACATTTTAATTCAGGAGAGCTGAGCTGGAGCTTTTTTTGTAATAAAATGCTTAAATGCATGTTTGAAATACGCGTAGTGCATGAATTGCTGCTACCAGCAGCAGTATCAATTAATAATTCTTACACCATATGGTAGCAATGTATGAAAACCTGCTTTCCTTGCTTTCCTCAGGCTAACACAACAACATAACCTCAGTAAGCATAAAATATGAACACGGAACACCCCGTAATAATACTGCTGTGAGGGGTATCGAGAGGGACCATGAATTTCAGAAGAAAACAACAGGCTGAATTGTGGTTTCCTCAAGAACTGCCTTTCCCTCTAGTTGCAAACCTGACATAATGTTAAAGCTGAGGGCAGGAGGCACTTTCCTACACACTGAATTGTGTGAATATGGAACAAGTTACCCAGCTGTGTTCTTGAAGCTGATACCCTGGCATCTTTCATGAAACGTCAGCATTAACCCCAGTCCATTAGATACTGGTGAGCAAACAGACTAGGGTCTTTTAAATTAAATAGCATTCTTATGTTATTAGCAAAGAGAAAGATCTGAGGGTTCCTCTCTGTGTTCTAGCCTGTCCTTTTCCATTGACATTGTTCGTGTGTTCTTGTTTTTGCAATCAGAGTAAATTATATAGAAACGTTTATTCTCAGCATTGAAGGCTAGCTTGAAGTAATTATATTGTGATGAACGTACTTTAAAGAATGGACATAATGTTGAATTTTCACTTGATACTTAAGTACAGTGACCCAATGGCTCAAGCATTGGAGAGTCAGTCAGTTACTTCCCAAAAAATGAAGACTTATTTCCTTGATGAGCTCGAGTTTGGGGATTGTAACTGAGGTTCGAATGAAGTGATGTGTGATGCAGGTTTCTCAATTGCGCCCACGACAAAGAAAACCGATACGAGTAAGGAAGCAGTTTATGGTTTAAGGGCATATGACCTGTTCTTCCACGTTCTTTGTTACTCATTCGCAAAAGTAAGTTATTGTTACTCATAATATGTGCCATATCTGCAGTTGTAATAAAGTTAAATTGTCACCTATGCCTGATTAAAAGTTTTCCTTTAGAGTTAGTAACTTTAATAATTTGGCCGAGACCTTGGCTTGGGCGCATGTGGGTCGTATAGACAGAAAACGTGCCTTTCTGCAGGTACTGGACGCTACCTTGCGTCTTGCAGAGGCAGAGCCAGGCCCTGTTCAGTGTAGGTTTCTTCCCCTCGGCTGTTCCCTTGGAGTAAATAGTTCTAGCAGTACTGTTTGTTTTGCATAGAAGCGAGGAGTCAAGCTGTTGCATCACTTGAACGGTATGTGCCATGCACTGCCTCTCGTGGCTCGCTTGGGAATTTCTCTTGTTCATTTTGGCAGCTTTGCATCCACACGGCAAGCTGGCCGTGCCCCCCTCCCCACCCGGGCACACCTCCTCCTTCCATTTCTCCATTTCTCCATTCTCCCCGTCTTTACGAGCCACATTCCTGGCTCATGATTTCATGGTACTGTACCAGGCGTTACTGTGCTGCCTGAACCACTCTGGAGCATCGCCAAACCCGTGCCTGCTGAGTCCCAGCACATCCACTAGAAAGAAAACATTTGTCCAAGGCTCAAAAACACACTGTAATTTAGTTTTAATTTAGCACTCCCCCACCTCTTCCCCCGAGTTAAGAAAGTCCTGGATTTTTTTATGAAGCCCTGAACATGAGCAGACGTTTAGACTGTTGCTTTTAGTTTTGCCAGGATGTGGGGAAGAGCAGAGGTCAGGGCTGGGCTGTCCGGGTGTAGACTCTGGCAGCCTGACTGGAGGCTTTACTGTGGTCTTTCTGGGCCGCTTAGACTTTCTAGAGAGGTGTTGTACTATCTTTCAGTACGCCTGCTGTTGCACTTAGAGCGGTAGTGGATGCTGACCTGCGTAATTTTGGTTTTCATACTAGAACATAAGAGATAAAGAGCACAAGAAAGACTGGGAATAAGTGCAGGCCATTCAGCCCATCAAGCATGTACCTAGTAGTTAACTGAGCAAGGATCTCGTCCAGTGTTTTCTTGAAAGCGGCCAGACTCCCAGAGTGCCATCTCTTTTCAGCACAAGCACATGGCAGGACTGAGAGGCCCCGTCCACCTGAAGTCTGTTCATTGAACAAAGACCGTGTTTCACGGTGTCTGGTGCCTAGTAGGCCAGATGGAATGGAGAAAAAAACTTTGCTAATACTTGACTTTTCTGTAGTGTTCGTTTTAGAGATTCTTCATGTTTTAACATCTCTTTGTTTCTCGGTGTCAGTGTTGTTAATGTTCCTGTTTGGTCTGATGATATCCATATGTATGACTTTGAGGAAAAGCTGGAAGTTGCCTTGAAGGAAAATGTCATTTAAGTAAAGAGATCTGCATTGTGCAAAACCGCTAAGCTAATTGTGCAATTAGAGAACCGTACAGCTAAGCTTCAGTAACTGGCAGTTCAAGTGCTGCTACCTTTGCCAACTGGCAGCTCACGGCTGCTTATCTGGTACCTTTCCAGTGCAATCCTTGGCCAATCCTTGGCCTTTGTTGAGTGGCAGTACAAGGTCTCACAGAATCTTTTGAACATTTCCAGTGTGCCATGTGGGCCATTGCAAAAACCTCTTGCTCCTGTCAGGTGTTTCATTTTCTAAGTGGGCTGACTTTTTTTGAAGCCTGCTATATACATCAATCGGACAAGCACGTCTTAAACTCTGGCTGGCAGTGGTGAGCTATACATGTCCTGTAATTCCAGCAAAATGGTCTGTATTTCTGTTAAATGTATCTGGTCATTTGTTTTTAAGACTGTAAAAATCCTATTACAGGACCTAAATGATCCTATTATCATTTTCGGTAGTGTTGACTGTACCAACAAATTAACTCCCAGCTGGCAGCCCACTGGAGCTCAGCAGGTGTGAGCCTGGTCAGTACCTGGATGGGAGACTTCTGGGAAAAACTAAGGTTACTGCTGGAAGAGGTGTTAGTGGGGCCAGTAGGGGGCGCTCACCCTGCGGTCTATGTGGGTCCAAATGCCCCAGCATAGTGACGGGGACACTATACTGTAAACAGGCGCCATCTTTCGGACGAGACATAAAACTGAGTTCCTGACTCTCTGTGGTCATTAAAAATCCCAGGGCGTTTCTCGAAAAGAGTAGGGGTGTAACCCTGGCGTCCTGGCCAAATTTCCCATTGGCCCTTACCAATCATGGCCTCCTAATAACCCCCATCTCTGAACTGGCTTCATCACTCTGCTCTCCTCCCCACTGAGAGCTGGTGTGTGGGGAGCGTACTGGAGCATCATCCAGGTGGGGCTGCACATTGGTGGGGGTGGAGGGGATCTCCATTACCTGTAAAGCACTTTGAGTGGAGTGTCCAGAAAAGCACTATATAAGTGTTAGCAATTATTATAATTATTATTAACAACTCTGCAGTCACTGTACCGTGCCTCCTCCTATATCAGGGATCAATGTCATGAATGGCATTAAATGGAATGACAGGCTATATGGAAATTGCCAGCGGCTGAAAGGACCCCCGGGGGAGGAGCACAGGTCCAGAACGTTGCCTGGGAATTCGTTCCCCATAATAACGGCCGCGTGTCGGACTCGTCTGCCCTGCAGGAGGTGGAGGAGCGCGTCTTCTCCGGGATCCAGCCCACGGGGATCCCCCACCTGGGGAACTACCTGGGTGCCCTGGAGAGCTGGGTGCGCCTGCAGGGGCAGCACGGCTCCGTCCTGTACAGCATCGTGGACCTCCACTCCATCACCGTGCCGCAGGACCCCGCCCGGCTGCGGACCAGCGTTCTGGACGTGGCGGCAAGCCTCATCGCCTGCGGCATTGACCCGGAGCGGTCCATCCTCTTCCAGCAGTCGCAGGTCAGGACGGCCACACACTGTACTTATGTTCCTTATACCCACACTGTACTTATACTTATGTTCCTTATACCCCACACTGTGCTTATACTTATGTTCCTTATACGCACACTGTACTTATACTTATGTTCCTTA